TACATTCCAGAGCCCTAAGAAGGATCCTCGCAGAATTCAGGCTCAGGTGAAGGAGATATTCAAGCGCTACTGCTCTTTCAAGGGGGTGAAGTATACGTTGAGTCTATTTAGAAGTTTCAAGCCTATTGACCTACTACAACTCGATGAAGTTGAGGACTACTTCCAACTCGGTATTAGCGTATATAGCATGGATGTAGCTTCCGGAAATGTAGAATGCATTCGTAGATCGGACAAGGGTATGAAGCTATGGATATTTTATCGCTCGAGAATCATGCTCTTTACATCAAGAACATTGACATGCTTCAGGCTAAGTATCAATGCCCTAAGTGTGAAGTGGTTTTCGTCAGCGCTGAAAAAGTAAAAAATCACAAAAAGAATCAATGTGAGCTCGTGAATATCGAAAGCTTCCCAGCTGAGCCAACTATCTACAAACCAGCTCAGAACGTAATACGATCACTGCTTACGAAGTATTCAATCAGGAATACTGACCAGTACATCGATCACTTCATCGTTTATGACTTTGAGGCCATTCTTAAGATTACCGCGACTCAATACGGGGAGAATACTGTCTTCACGAGCGAACACATTCCTGTGTCGGTATCAGTAGCTGATAGTTTAACCGAGGGGGTGCGTTGCTTTGTAAATGACGATCCAAAGATGCTACTTACCGAAATGTTCAATTACATTGGTGATGTATCGGTTAAGATTCAGCAGTACAATGTCAATAAATATATGTCGCTTCTACAAAAAATCATCAATGCACATGGTCTGACAGGTATGGAAGTCCCAGGCGCTAATTCTGATAAAAAGTACAAGATGTCTGATGTGGAGAGTTGGATTGAAGAGGAGGGAAAGTATGCCAGCTTCTTTGACTTTCACCGCAGTCTTGGTTTTGGTAAGCAAAGGTCTGATTATGGGAAACTGAAACAGCAGCTTGACCAGGTACCAGTATTCGGCTTTAATTCTAGTCGATATGATATTAACTTGATTAAGAAAGATTTGTTTGCCGTAATTGGTACCGACAACGTCAAATCTGTCATCAAGAACCCCAGCTACATGTGCATTGCTACATCGGACATGAAAATGCTTGATATCACTAACTATGTACCAGCTGGTACCAGCTACGACAAGTATCTTACAACATATCTCGGTGGCTGCAAATGCGATGACAAAATTAGATGTGTCTGTGGTCTTGGTAAGGGTCTTTTCCCTTACGAGTACATCACCGCGTTCAATGTTCTAAAGCAGACTACTATCCCACCTAAGTCAGCTTTTGATAGTAAGCTCCGTGGAACGAGCATCACGAGCGATGACTACGAACGAGTGAAGTTCGTGTGGGATTACCACGAGATGAAATCGATCAAAGACCTACTGATCTGGTACAATAATCTCGACGTAGTCCCTTTCACCAAAGCTATCAAGGCTCAGCGAGAGCTATTTAAGCGCTTCGATCTGGATATGTTTGCGGATGGAGTGTCCCTACCTGGTCTTTCAGAGAAGGTTATGTACAGACCTGCTTCAATAATCTCCAATATCCGGATAAGAAACCTGCTAACGCATTCCGATTTCCAGCGAAGCGCATGGCTGGCTACAAGAGTCAGGATGCTAAGGCAAAACGAAAATTTGGTATGACGCTCGAGCACGTGAATACATTGCTGCAAAAGCAAAAGTATCTGTGTGGTCTATGCTATTGTCAGCTGACTGCTGATACCGCTTCCGCTGATAGAATCAATAACAATCTTGGGCACCCTGATGGGAATATCTTGATCAGCTGCATTTCATGCAACACCGCTCGAAAAGATATGTCTCTTAGGGGGTTCAGATACAAGAAACTGCTTGATTTTAACGCAGCCAGATTGGTGTTTTCGATTGACAAGGAGGAATCTGAGATTTACGGGAAAATGAAAGCTAACAAGACCATCAATTATATTCAACAGGTATGCTAAGCGAAACGAGACGAAGATTCGTGGAGGTAAGATCTGCAACAAAATTATCGGATACGACGCTAACGCTCTATATCTATGGGCCCTTGGTAATGAGATGCCATGCGGTCGATTGACTACGGTTGAAGCGTATGATGGTATCATCGATGACATCAAAGCATACAAAGTATTCGGCTTTCTTGAATGTGATATCCGAACACCAGAATACTTTAAACAGTACTTTGGTGAGATGACTCCAATTTTCAAGAATGTACTGATCGACTGTACGAATGAGAGCGTCATTGGTAAGCACATGTTCGAACACAATGAGGCGCGCAAGCAAAGCCGAGCAAAACCAGCTCGCAAGTTGATTGGTAGCTACTTTGGTGAAAAGATTCTCATATACGCACCTTTGCTGAAGTGGTATCTCTCTCATGGTTTGGAGATCACCAAGACTTACAGCTTCATAAAAGCGAGCTCCCATAAAGCTTTTGCTCCATTTATGGAGGCTGTATCAAACGCCCGGCGAGAGGGTGATGTTGATAAGTCGAAGGCTATGATTGCCGAGATGGTGAAACTGGTAGGCAACAGTGCTTTTGGTCGATCTGGCATGGATATGAGCAAGCACAAAGAGGTTGAGTATGAGTCGAGTGACAAAGCTATTAAGAACAAGATCGAACACTTTACGTTCCATGGTCTCGAGGAGCTTAATGATGCGTGTGAGATCACGATGAAGAAGCGCCGACTCAATAATAAGAACCTAATCCATTTGTCGATTGCTATCTATCAGCTTGCTAAGCTACGCATGCTTCAGTTTTACTATGACTGCATAAGTTTCTACTTCGATCGCTCTGACTTCCAGTATCAGGAGATGGACACTGATTCGGCTTATATCGCTTTCAGCTGTGATAATCCATTTCAAGACTGTATTAAGCCTGGGCTACGAACATACTTCAAGGAGCGTATATACGATTGGTTTCCACGTGACTACAACACTGAGGTAGCTAAGTTTGATCGCCGTACGCCTGGTTTGTTCAAAGATGAATGGTCAGGTGATGCTATGGTCTCACTATCGAGTAAGAACTATATTTGCTAACTACCCGATGAGACATACAAAGTAAAGGTTTCAGCGAAGGGTATTCAACAGGGAAGTGGTCGAAACAATGGTGTTCTTAATTCTGATGGGTTTGAGACTGTCGTACGGGATCGCATCATGCTACAAGGTACAAACAAGGGGTTCAGACTATCGAAAGAAGCCAAGTCTATCATCACCTATACTCAAACCAAAACAGCGCTTAACTACTACTATGACAAACGTCGAGTACTTGATGATGGTATCACGACTGAACCACTTGTAATTTTAGCAGCTAGCCACTGGGATTTTTTTTAATGTAAATATAGATCATGGACGCGCTATTAAAGAAACTCTACTATGACCCAAAAACCGGTTTTATAGGAGCTCAAGCTCTGTATCAGAAAGCAAAGGAGTTGAATCCTAAGATAACTTTCAAAATAGTAAAGGATTGGTATGGGAGTCAGCCCGATATTCAACGATTTCAGGAGCAAAAGAAGAGATTCAATGGTTTCAAAATAGCTTCGCATAACCCCAACTCGTGGCAAATTGATCTTGCGTATTGGGAGAAACGGCCAATTTTGACTGCTATCAACATCAACTCAAGGCTGGGGTACGCAAAGCTCTTACGAAACAAAACGGCAGCAATTGTGTTAGTAGCGCTTAAAGCGTTTGTTCGTCTCCACAAAGTGGATATCCTAACAAGTGATAATGGTAGTGAGTTCATGTACTTACAGGCCCAAGAGCTCTTAGACACTATCACATCGGAGGTGACCTCGTGCGAGTCGGAGGATGATGGCAATTCGGCAGACACTCCGCATCCGGAGGCAATCGAGCAGGAGATTTGCATGAAAGATCCGGAATCGAAAAACAGCATGAAAGGCAAGAGCGCTCACATCGCCGAGGCGGGGCACGAGGACGACTGTGCTGATCCGAATGTAGATTCAGACGATGGCGTGCAACAAGAAGATAAAAGACCGCCGGAGAGGGAAAAGAAGAGCTCGAAGGCTGTGGTTAAGGGACGTCCAGAGTCGACGGGAAATCAAGCGGTGGCAAAGAGCAAGGGGCTTTTGACGGAGACCAAGAAGAAGCGAAATAATGGTGATCCCACCCAGCAAGAGCTTCTGTTTGTGGGGGGAGTTGCCACGGTGTTAGTTGCGTACCTCCTTGCGTGTGTGTACAGCTTCTTTCACCCTGTAGTGTTCCCCTTATCGAACTACGAGGAACTGTTCTCGGCGTACGATATCTCGAATGTTTCCGTGCACATTGTGAACCCCGTGGGAAATTCAATAATCACGCCACAAGGTGTTTCATTCGAGTGGCAACTTGCCAACTTTCCCACTGAAGCTCTGCATTTGTATGGCGCCGAGGTTTTTCGATACGAATTATTTTTGGACGACGAGGTTTTCACGTCGGAAATAGGATTTCTTGCACTTGAAAGCGAAGACGACAATACTGAAGTGCTCAATCGCACTGTCGATTCCTCTCCGAAAATTCACACACGACGCGATATTTAAGCTTCATCTCGAAGTTACTATCCCCATTCCTGGGCTAATCGAAGAGCTCACGACATACAAGAAAGATGTCTACGTTCGAAAGCCACCCACTCCCTCTATTGAGGACGAGGTACACCTATCACTAACGTCTCCCTTGGATGGTGCTATCTTCGAACGACATCAGTCTATTGTCCTCGAGTACACAGCCGTGAATGTACAAACTCTCGAGTTGCTGATTGATGACGACATTTACTTGAAGAAAACCCACGTGGACGATGGCAATATGCTGCTGCGTGGACCTCGAAGCGAAAGCCGTGAACGACCAGAATAAAGTCACAGCGTCCAGTTTAGTGCATGTAGAGATAATGGAGTCAGCATAGGCGCTATTAAGTGTAATTGGATGGAGTTAGCGTATTACGGTACTGCACACGCTGTGAATTTCCCTGTAACGAGGAAGATTTATGCATTTTAGCGGTGAGCGAGGTGTTCTCTCTATCCTCATCCACACTCTTACTGCCAGACCTTCTTAGGCTTCCAGTGGAAGTTCTCGTACAGACGCAGCAGGTTGCGCTCGAGCATGGCCACCGTGACCTTACCCACCAGTGGCACGTACTGCACGCCCTTTATCTTAAGCAGCTCGGCCTCGTCCACGTTCTTGAAGGACGCGACGTTGATGATGACCGTGTTTTCGCTGACCCACTCAAGCGGCAGCTTGTAGCTCTTAACGGGGACGCCAGTAATGATGACACGAGACTTCTTACACGCCGTCTCCTGTGTCTCTTCGCTCGGGATGAGCTTACCGCGACGGAATAGGTACAGCGAGTCAATGTCGGCGCTGTACACGTCAGCGCCGTCATTCGCAAGCATAGCAGCCAATGGGCGGCCGACAATGTATGAGACCTGGACGACGCAGTCTCAGAAACCAGAAGTCTTTTTAGTATTGATAGTCACTCGCCCGTTGGAAACTTGGTTGATATTTTTATTTCTAACGGAGTCCACCAAGGGTGGAGCTCCAGCAATTCCCCTTCTGCCAAGTGTGGGGCGAGTAGTGTGTTAACGCTTACTTCTTCCGTCGTAAACACTGTCCAGACATCGTACACGACCTCTGCAAGTGAACGAGTAGGGGACGTTCGCTGTTAGGGTTATGAGCCCAAAATTAGAGTAAACTTCCAGAACTTACGTGAACGCTGACGGTGTCGTGGACGCTGCCTTTGATGTCAGACTTACTTGGTACTCCGTCTCCGACCGCGTCGCGACGGATGATGGCTGTATCAGCGCCTGAAGCGTCAGTAGCGGCTGGACTGGTAGGTCCGTTGGCTGGTGGTGCTGGCGGGATTCCTGTCCTTCAGTCTCCACCGCCGCAGTCTGTTTCTGCGTTGAACTCACCAACTTCAACACTCATTTTGACTGGAACTCCGGTGGTGAACGCTCCAGCGAGGTCGCACGCTAATGAAGAACAACAACGAAGGATACCATTGCCACCGCCTAACCTAGCGTTGGATGTGAACAAAAACCCACCAAAAATGGCAGGAAGCTTTAACCTCTATCGCGCTCAAGTTATGGCCTATTTACATCGACTTAATGCTTGGGGTCTGATCGATGGATCCGTACAGCGTCCGATTGTAAATGGGGAACTTCAACAGCGCTACGATATGTTGGACTTCTTTGTGAAAGATACGTTGCTTCGAGGTGCTAAAGTTGAAGACGCTGAGCGTATGTGTGATCTTCCAACTGGCAAGGAAATGTCGGAAGATCTGGAAGCACACCATACTAAGCGTGAGTTTTCTAATTACGTGTGGGTATTGAAGCAATTCTTCCACGCAGCTTACACTCGTGAGCAGACGATGGATTCTTGGCTTCAGGAAATTCACGATACACGTCGTGCGTTGGCTAATCTGGGTCGAGTTATCGATGATGATCTCACTGTGGACGTGATTCTCATGGGAGTAGTGCAGACACACAGAGATGTCGTGCGTCAGTTTTCTCGCATCATGGCTCCCGGGTCCCGACCCACTCTGCAGCAAGTCTTGAGCACACTGAAGTCCGAGACCGAGATGGATGAGATCGTCCGCGATGAGGAAAAGGGAAACTCGAAGATCATGCACGTGGCTAAGAAACAGAAAACTTGTGACAAATCTAGTAAACATATTAGCTGGGTTAAACCCAGTGGAGCACAATCTCGTGAAGCTAAATCCAGTGAAGCAGGAAGCAAAGCCAATCAAAAGTCTGGTCCTGGTAAACGAAAGAAGGGCAAGTGCTTCTATTGTGATAGAGAAGGCCATCACCGAATGCTGCAAATTGATGTCAAATTTGATCTGAAGCACGGCAACGTAGATGCTGAAAAGGCAAAGTGTGGCAACAATTCTGGGGATAGCTCTAGAGGATATGGGGGAAACAAAGGTGGACCTCCTCAGCCGTTACCATTGGGAATGATCGGTCGTGTTGAAAATACTTGTGCTGTGTCAAGTACTGGGTTTACATTATTGTCGACGTTTGATACCTCTAATTCATTGGAGTGGATATTAGACACAGCAGCTATTACGCATACCTGCGCTGACCGGTCACTTATGACACAGCTCCCGCACTACGTGGAGACGAACACGCCACATGAATCGTGGACAGGAGAAGTAACAACGGAACATTTGGTGTCTCAATTGCCTGTATCTTTCCTATCCACACAAGATAGACGTGGCGAAACTGGAGAAGCGCTTGATTGCGTTCTTACTGGAGTTCGTAATGTTGTTGGATGTCACGTTAATCTGCTAAGTGTTAATGCACTTGAAGAGCAAGGCTGGCAATGTGAGTCACAGTATCCTCAGGACGGACCTCCAAGGCGGCTATTATGGAAGGGTCCGACAGCAATAGTGTTTGTCAAGAGTCGAGGTTACTATCGCACTCGTGGTTTGTGTAATTCACCTCAAGTAGTTGCATCATTTGTGGCTGGAGGTGAATCGATATTTCGGTGGCATCTTCGCTTTGGTCATGTGAATTTTGCAGCATTGCAGCAACTCCATCGTGATCAGATGGTTTCAGGCATGACGATGTCTCCTAGTGAGCGCACTAGAGATGCGATGGATTGCCTAAGCTGTACATTAGCAAAATCGCGAAGAATGTCATACAAGAATGTGTCTCCATGTCGATCAATAAGGTGTTGTGAAAACCTGATGACCGATGTCTGTCACTATGGTGAGGTTTCGGTTGCTGGAAACGTGATGTTTCAGCTCGTGGAGAATGAATACTCACGATACCTATGGGCTTCTTACTCCGTCAAAAGTCTCAATGTACAGACAACTTGAAGACGTTGATCTTACAGCTGAAGCAATGTGAGCGACCTGTCAGATTCCTGGGGTCTGATCAAGGAACTGAGTTTGTAAATCAAAAGCTACAACAAGTCCTCCGAGACAATGGAGTTCGTCCGCTGTATACAAATACGTATACACCCGAAGAAAACAGTCTCGTCGAAAAGATGAATGGTGTAGTACTGCGATATGTTCGCGCTCTCCTCGTAACCAGTGGACTTCCAACAAAACTATGGAGAGAGGCGTTCAAGTTTGTGGTAACGATACGCAACTTCTCACCATCCAAAGCCATTAAAGACAGTACACCTTACGAGTTATTTGAAGGTCGTATACCTTATGTATCTGGTCTACGTGTGTGGGGCTGTGCTGCAACGTACTTCGTCCCTAAGCAAAGACGGAAAGGTAAACAAGATACGACAGCGAAAGAGGCATTGTTTCTAGGATGTCCTAAATCCACGACTGGATATCGTGTCCTCGATCTTGTTACCGGACACATTGTGGAGTCTCGTGACGTAAAGTTTCGCGAACAGTGGACAGTGGCGGCTGACTATGTGGATCAGTTGCCTGACAAGTTCTGCGCGAAGAAGCCTGGTGTGGTGCTACCTGTTTCAATCCCGTATGTAAGACTTCCTCTTCATGACTACTCGAGCTCCTGTAGCAGCGATGAAACTGCACTGGCATTGCATAGCTCCGATGAAGTCGGTCCTATGGATGCTAAGGTTGGAGGCGATGTAGTGGAAGAGACGAAAGTTAGAAGAGCGGGGGAGCTTGAGTTTGATAATAGCAACTCAGGTCCAACAAAACACAGACGAACAGGGGAGCTGGCCCAGACTTATGATACTCCAAATTGTGACTCCACTTCTATAATTCGTGTCGATGGACATGAGAATGATACGAGATGTACAAAACACGTTGAAAAGAAGCGACAACCGGGTTTGGTTGAAGTTAAGCGACGTCGGAAAACACACACCAAAGACCCAATTGTTACGCTTCGCAGATCAACACGTACACGTCGTCCAAACGTAAGGCTACATGGCTATTCGCTTGCCAATTACTTCATCTCAACTACGGACAAGCTGCCCAAGTCAGTTCGTGCAGCGCTTCCAGGTCCTGATGGTGATAAGTGGTGGCAAGCTTTGCAAACGGAAATCTCTGACATACAAGCGAATCATACGTGGATTTTAGTGAACCGTCCGTCGGACACTAAGATCATGACCAGTCGCTGGGTGTTTGTCATCAAAAGGAATCGAAACGGAGAAATTGTACGCTACAAAGCTCGACTTACTCTCCGGGGTTTCGAGCAAGTGTTTGGTTCAGACTATTGGGAAGTATACTCTCCAGTTGTGAGCATGGAGGCAATCCGTGTTGTCATTGTGCTCGCATTCTACTATGACCCGAAACTTCGCCAAATTGACTTCACTACGGCATTTCTAATCGGTGAGATGGATGTCGACGTGTATATGGAGCAACCAGAGTTGTTCGACGATGGCACTGGACGTGTGTGCTTGTTGAAGAAGAGCTTATATGGCTTAAAGCAAGCTCCTCCGATCTAGAACGCAACTTTGAAGAGATATCTAGTGAAGCTTGGTTTCAAATCCAGCATAATTGCAGATGGCGTTTACGTCAAGTGGGTCGACGACTCTCCTATCTTCCTTACAGTCTACGTTGATGATGTCGTTATTGCGGCTAAAAATGAGAGTATCACGTGGCTAATTTCACAGTTGAAGAGTGAATTTAAGCTAAAGGACTTATGGGAGATCAACCTCTTGCTGGCCATGAATGTAAAAGTGGAGCCGACACGAGTCACGTTGTCACAAGAATCGTACATTCGACACATTGTGGAAAAATATGGCGATCACACTGCTCGTGTGGTCCGTACTCCAATGGACCCAAAAGTAAAACCTGTGAGACCCAGCAAACCCTACGGACCTGACGTAAACAGAAGTGATCTACCATTTCGTCAAATTGTTGGTTCCCTACAGTATTTGGTGCGTTGTACGCGACCCGATATCGCGAACGCGGTTCGTGTCTTGAGCAAGTTTCTTGACTGTTATACAGAGGAACATTTTGGACTGGCTCAACGCGCTCTTACGTATTTGAAGGGGACTAGTTCCTATGGATTGGTGCTACCAAACGTTTCTGCAAAGGGCAATCTTTCTATCGCTGGATATGCTGATGCTGACCTCGGCAATGATATGGACACTCGTCGATCTGTTACTGGCCAAGTTGTAACACTTGGTGGATGTGTTGTAGCATACCAAAGTAAGCTACAGCCCAGTGCAGTTAAAGATACATGCAGTGCTGAGCTCACAGCAGCCAGCTGCTGTGCAGATCGAATTCGATGGCTACAAAACTTGTTAGCCGAACTACAAGTTCCTGTCGAGCTTCCAGCTCTTCTCTGGACGGACAATGCTGCAGCTGTTCCGGTCATGACACATTCCAGCGGACATCACAAGATCAAGTGTCTAGATCTGGTGATATACAAGGTTATTGACTATGTCGATGCTGGTTACATTGTGGTAAAACACATGCCGTCTAAGGTCATGCCTGCTGATGCCTTAACCAAGCCATTGGGTAAGGGCAAGTTTCGCCAACATCGAAAGTAGCTTGGTGTCGAATGCCTGTGTACTCAAGTTGATGGGGATACAGATGAAGAACCAGAACAACAATCCGACCCAGATGACGCGCAAACAAGCTAAGGAAGACTTCCAGTTTCAGGGGAGTATGAGACCTGGACGACGCAGTCTCAGAAACCAGAAGTCTTTTTAGTATTGGTAGTCACTCGCCCGTTAGATACTTGGTTGATATTTTTATTTCTAACGGAGTCCACCATGGGTGGAGCTCCAGCAATTCCCAATCTGCCAAGTGTGGGGCGAGTAGTGTGTTAACGCTTACTTCTTCCGTCGTACTCACTGTCCAGACATCGTACACGACCTCTGCAAGTGAGCGAGTAGGAGACGTTCGCTGTTACAATGTCACTACGGCTAACAACCGTGATGTTAACACCTGACAAGTGGTCGCCAGTAGGCTTGGTCTTGTCATAAACGCCAAGGTGTTCGAGGATCTTGACAATTGCCAAAGGTGTGCAAGGCAGCACGCACTTTTGCGTCTTCTCGTCGTCTACGTAGCGGATGTTACGGTACAAGTTGCCACGGTAGAATTGGCACAGTCTTTTCACGTCCTTCTTAATGCTGATGCTGTCGCGCAAAAAATCGTTCATGGTGCCACCGAAGAAGCTCGGGAAGGCGCCGAAGCACGGGTAGTACACGAGAATACCGTGCACACCCGAGTCTTTGTTGGCCTTCTCCAAAGCCTCCAGCAGCTCGTCCTTGGGCACTTCGCGCAGCTCGTAGCGGATGCCGTCGCGTGCACAGGCCTTGCCCGTCCCTCGGCGTACTTCTTGGCGGCCGGGTCGCCGTGAGCCAGCAAACCCACGAGCTTGGGACCCACGCCACCCATGTCCTGCTCAATGTACTGGCGCACGGCCAAGCTGAAGGGCTCGGCGATGGTCGCAGCGTTCATTTTCGCACCGGCGGAGTCGGTCATCTTGATGTTTGTGGTAGACGTCGGTTTGACGGATGGCTGGCTGACCATAAACGAAAACCGTTTGGTAAGAGCTCGATTTTTTAACGCTTTCGAAAAAAGGCCTCAATTAATATTTGATCATATTAGAAAGCCAAAAAAATTAAGAGTCGTTGTTTTTTCAAAAAGAAACGCTTTGTTTAACACCTTTGGAATTCCTTTTTATTTTTTATCGCAATGATTTGATAAAATGACATTGGAAAAAGTGATTCGAAATCAAAGTGCTTTTAGAAAAACAGAAAGCTTTTTTCTCAGGGTGGCTCTTAGCCACTGCCACGTGTGCCATACCATGGCACTAGAGATTGAGCCATGGCATGGCGTGGTTACGAATAGACCTGCCACTGTGCCATCATGAAAACTATTTTTAAAATATACATTAATGCAAATAAAAGTAGCATGGCACATGGCAATTGCCCCTTGCCATGACACTTGCGAATGTCCGTGGCACTTCCTGTCATTTAATTTACTTTAAACTCTAGCCCTAGCAAGCGCTCATCCAATCGGATCACAGCTTTTGTGCCATGGCGTGGTTAAGAGCGACCCTCAGTTAAGCGAGCACTTTTCAACGTCAGACTTAAAAGCGACATCAAAGCTCCTATTGCTTTTTTTTTAAGATGCCGTTTTCGAAAGCGCTTTTTTGTAGAGTACTTAAATTAGCTCTTCAAAAAAGCACAACAACATTTTTAGGTGCTACAGGGCCAAAGCAGCGCATGTTTAAAAAGTATAAATTAAAGCAGTATGTAAGCGGGCACTCGCTGTTAAGGTCGAGTTGATTCAGACTCCTTGCGCTGATGGTACCGTCGTCGCGCAGTGAAACAGTACCAGTACCCAACACGAGCTAAGCCAAATTAGTGGCGGGGCAGCGAATCGAGCGCCTTGTTTTTGCTGACTGGGCTTATGTCTCCAGCCCATTTCTTTAATTAAACATAATTTTGACGTTAGTCCAGCCGATTTGTCAGTGGTGCAGTTTATCGTACCGGAACGATGGGACTGAGGTTGGTCTCCCAGCTAACAGCGCTGTGTACAGCGGGGACCATAAAGCCGAACACAAGC